GTCACTTCACCAGGGGGGAACGCCAGCCAGTCACCTCACCAGGGGGGAGGGGCATCCAGTTACCTCACCCAGGGGGGTGCCATCCAGTCACCTCACCCAGGGGGACGCCGTCCGGTCACCTCACCCAGGGGGACGCCGTCCGGTCACCTCACCCAGGGGGACGCCGTCTGGTCACCTCAGCCAGGGGGACGCCGTCTGGTCACCTCACCCAGGGGGACGCCGTCTGGTCACCTCAGCCAGGGGGACGCCGTCTGGTCACCTCAGCCAGGGGGACGCCGTCTGGTCACCTCACCCAGGGGGACGCCGTCCGGTTTCCTCACCCGGGGGGGGGCGCCATCATGTGCACGCCTGTCCAATACCACATGGGGGGAGGGTTGAGGAGAAGGCGCTCGCTTCACCAGTACCCAGATGGCTGAGTCTCCGGCCCAAACGTACCCAGAAACTGGGCTCTGCAGAGTGGAGCTCTGGCATCCGGAGGGCCAGACTGTGGGACCAGGTGTGTGAAGGTTCAATCAGATGTCTGCATGGAAGTCAGTGATGCTGCTGATCAGGACAGACACAGTGGCCTCTCAGAGTGGCTCAAGGCACAGGACAGCCCCTTCTGCAGAAATGCCCAGGGGTCGGCCAGGGGTGTGAGCTCAGCCTGCAGCTACAGCTGCAGGAAGTCTGTGGTCGGAGGCCTAGGATGCTCTTCTGACTCCTTCCCCTTCCTGCTGGAGGCCAGTGGGCGGAGCCCATCCTGAGCCCCAGGGCAGACTCTGCTGGGTCAGGTCTCTTTGATGACAGTGGCTTCTCATTATCACCAGGTCCCCTGACCTGGCCTCCAGGCCTCTGTGACCCCCCCTCAGGGGCCTTCCTGGCTCTGGGGCCTGAGGCCGCTGGACACACCCATGTTGGGAGCTGCTACACACAGCACTTACTCCAGACTAGCGGGCTGCCCCTGTCTAGCTGGCTACAAGCCTCCCGTCCTGTCCTTCTCACTGACCCCACAGCACCAGGCAGCAGGCTTGCCCACTCCCACTGCACAGCTGCGGAGCACTGTGGGCAAGGCCATGGCAGGGGCTGGTCAGGAAGTGACATGGCCCAACTGTGATGGGCAAAGACAGTTCAACGCTCAGCCAAGCTCTGACTCGGCTGTCCTCTGGCTGTCTGACAGCCCTTAATCCCACCTGGGCCCACAGGGGTGCAGTTGTGCTAGAAGAGGCCTGGGTGAGGCTGGGGTGTGGCAGAGGTCCCTGCCAGGCCCTGCCCCAGCCACCCACACCCTGTTCTGCTGAGGCCAGCCTGGGGTAGCTGCCCAAGGAAATCCCGTTGTGACACATCCACCACCTGTCCACCTGGTGGTTGGCCCCTCCCACCCCAGAGGGGTCCAGGGAACATCCTCCACCCCAGCCTCCCCTGATGACCTCAGGATCACGGCTCTGTGCCAGGCACTTGCACCCTGTGTGGGTCACTCACCCCAAGGCCACCTGATGGGCACTCGCATGCTGCTCAGCCCCTGCCTGCTATGGTCACAGGCCATGGGCCTTGGGCAGGGTCTGGCTGGCTCCCCTGCTGCCCCTGAGTCAGTCCCCCTGGGAATGGCACCATCCCTGCATGACCAGACTACGGCCCCAGGGGCTTGCAGGACTCTACCTACACTGACGGCAGCCAGGCTGGTGTGAGTGGATGCAATCACGCCGAGTTCCAAGCCACGACACACGTGAACCCTTCCACCAGGGGCAGCCTCTCCAGACTCCACAACAGCCACTGAATAGGCTCTGCCTGCTTCTCTGGTTGGTTTTTCAAACATTTTGTGTCCTTTTCTGCAACCTGTGAGTGCCTATGTCGTGGCTGTGTGCTGTCCAGTCAATGGCTCGTGGTAACACCATGGGACACACCACAGAACTGTCCCATAGGGTTTCCCAGGCTGCAATCTTTATGGAAGCAGATCCACAGGTCTTTCTCCTGAGGAGCTGGGTGGGTTTGAACTACTGACCTTTCAGATGCAAGCGTTTAACCACCGCAACACCAGAGCTCCTTAAAATGCATGTGTATTGTCTACAAACAACTCCATCCCCTTACTGGCGCAAAAGCGCAACTCAGTCGCGTCAACTCAGCCTGCTGTGTAACCGTCCCCACCACGCACTGCCAAACATCCAGCCTTGCACCCCTACTGAGACCCTGCACCCCCACGGGAACCCTGTGCCCCCACAGGAATCCTGTGCCCCCACGGGAACCCTGTGCCCCCACAGGAATCCTGCGCCCCCATGGGAACCCTGTGCCCCCACAGGAATCCTGCGCCCCCATGGGAACCCTGTGCCCCCACAGGAATCCTGTGCCCCCATGGGAACCCTGTGCCCCCACAGGAATCCTGTGCCCCCATGGGAACCCTGTGCCCCCACAGGAATCCTGCGCCCCCATGGGAACTCTGTGCCTCCACGGGAACCCTGTGTTTCCACGGAGCCCTGTGCCCCCACAGGAACTCTGCATCCTAACAGCAGCTCAGCAGGCCCTCGGGAACGCTGCACCGTCAGCAATGGCTCTGTTGGGGGCCTTCCTTCAGAGGCTTTTGGGAGCAGCACCCCAGGTGCACTAAGGCACCTCCCTCCAGTTCACAGCATAGTGAGGGTCAGAAGGTAAGCCTCGTTATTTTAACGTTGGGACCTAGCAGATAGGTGGGGTCCACCAGCAATGACCCAGGCTACCAGCTCACTGGGACCAGGGGTGACTGGCTCAGCCATGCAAGCAGACCTGAGGGTGACAAGGACACCTTGCAGCCCAGCCCAGAGCCATGGACCAGTGGCCTCAGTGCCTCTGACCCTTCTCACCAGCGTACTCGCAGCCCTGCAGCCTCAGGGCCAGCGTGGTCCTGCCAACAGGAAGCCCCTGTCCAGGGGAGCTGGCAGGCGGCAGGCCTCTTCCACCTCCCATGCCCAGAAATGACAACCTGTGCCCTGTCCCCCACCACACACTGCCCGCAGAGCTACCACACAGACACCCCATGCCCCAAAAGCCTGGCAGAGCCAGCAGGCTGCAGTGGGGTGAGTGGGCTCAGATGGCGCTGGGGCTCTTACCGTCCACGCAAGCGGGCCGAGCCCTCGTGGTCCCTGCAATCTGCCCCTTTCTGCATGCGCAGCGTGCCGTCTGCCGGGCGATTGTCCTCCGCGGCTGGCTGCTGTCCCGGTCCAGGGTCACGATTTCACAGGTGCCAGCAGCCAGCTGACCTGCAAGACAGTAGCAGACGCGGGCTGAGTGGTCAGACCTGCGGCCAGCCACCCATGCAATGACGCCCACCCACAGACGGCCCTGGTGGCCCACTTTCTCCAGAGGGGACAGCTGTAACTACCTCCCGCCACGCTGGCAGAGAAGCCACGGCAGCCGGCCCCCAGACAGGCAGGAAATGAAATGTGACCTCATGGTGGCCACGCTCAGAAATGAAAGTGGCACCATGGAGGAACAGCAGCCCCACCCCCATCTGGCCGGGGTCTCACCAAGCCCACGGGTGTGAAACTATGTTGAGTCCCTGGAGCCATAGATAACATCTCAGATCAGAATCCAGGTTGGCCCGCCCATCACCCTCAGGACCTGGGCAGAGCAGGCCACTCTGCAAAGGCGAAATTGCCAAGCAGTGACTAGACAAGCATGGTGGGGCCTTGGGACGGCCTCACTGTGCCACTGTGCCGGCCAGTCTGCATTCCCTCCTCCCTCCCCCAGGCACACATACACACACACACGTACACATATGCACTTGCGGTACACAAATGCATAGACACACACATCAAGTGGACATGGAGCACATTCCACACACTGATGATGCCCAGGTATAGGACACGAGGTGGCCACGTGTCACACGGCTCAGGAGCTACCAGGTACACGTGGGGTGCTCAGACAGTGCTCCACGGGACACACACAGCTGTGAAAGGCTGCCAGGAGGGTACTGCCCTGCCTGATGTCACCGACGCCCCAGGTGAGGCCCTGTGGCCCTGGCCTGGCACTGGACGGACTGGGTACCCCAGAAAGCCCTGGAAACATGCTTGCCTTGGAGGGGTTGGCCCACGCCTTTGCCTGGTGCCCTCCTGCCCAATTTCCTCATGAACACCAAGGATAACACTGTCTCGAGGGGCAACAGGCTGACACTGGGGACAAGGAGGGTGACCTGTGGAGACCCATAACAGCAAATGCACATTCCACGTTCACTCTCCCTGCCTGTGAAACACCGCTAGCCACTAAGACCACTAACGACCAACGCCAACATGTAAAGTGCTCAGCATGCAACACACGCTACCTTGCCAGGGTCACGGGCCGCTCCTCAGTCCCTGTACTGCCCCTCACGCCACCCCGCATCGGCTGCCCGTGTCTGTGTGTGCTCACGGACACTGAGGATGCTTTCGAGCACGGCAGTGCGCCCAGCCCACCTACCCCAGCTGGCTGCTGAGCAAGGCAGACTGACTGCCCAGGCATATGTCTGAACCCTGGCACCCAGGTGTGGGTGCAGCGGGGGCCTGGTGAGGACCCACGATGGCCTGCCTTTACCTGGGAGAGTTTGAGTCCCAGGGAGGGCAGTGCAAACATCAGGGCTTGTCCAAGGTGGTGGCGGAAGAGAAGAGGCCAGCTGACCCTGGACACCAGGCTGGCCTCCCTGACTGACTGCAGACCCGGTCTGTGCCGGGCAAGGCAGACTGCCACACGTGGAGCCACATGCTTCTTTAGGCCCAGGACGGACATAGCTAAGTACACAAACACAGACAACACGCAAGGCAGTGGGGGGCTCAGGCCGGGGACATGGTGCTGCTACCCCTGGCCTGGGGAGTTAGTGTCTTACAGGCTTGGGGGAGGTGATGCCTCCTGGAGAGGCCATGGCTCATGCATCCCCCACGCCCTGCAGGGCCGCCTCCAGGGCTATTT